GAATTTGTCAACGAACGGCTTTATGGGAAAAATCAGCTGCCACAGAAGGCGCAAGCAAACGCAGAGTAAAACATGAACAACATCAAGCACATACACACGCACGCACGCACACACACACACACACACGCACGCACGCACGCACGCACGCACATACTCGCGCGCGCGTACACACGCCTTCGAAGACACACGCACGCACGCACACACGAGAACGCAGCGCAAAAGCCCTAACTTTTTCATCGGCATGAGAACTGACGAGGAAATGAAACTAGAACGATTGTCCCAGAGAGGGACTAATAATACCCCCCCCCCTTCAAACTGTTATGGTGCCTATATGTGTAGAATTTGTCAACGAACGGCTTTATGGGAAAAATCAGCTGCCACAGAAGGCGCAAGCAAACGCAGAGTGAAACATGAACAACATCAAGCACATACACACGCACGCACGCACGCACACACACGCACGCACACACACACGCACATATATACACGCACGCACGCACGCACGCACGCACGCACGCACGCACGCACGCACGCACACACGCACGCACACACACACGCACATATACACACACGCGCGCACACACACACGCTTTCGAAGTTCGAGGGACACACGCAAACACACGCGCGCGCCTTCGAAGACACACGCACACACACATGCGCGCGCGCACACACGCACCCATAATCGCCCGCACACGCACACACGCACACACACGCGTGCGCACACAAAAACACACACACACACAAACACACATTCACACCCACCCACACACACACACACACGCACGCACGCACATACGCGCGCGCGCGTACACACGCCTTCGAAGACACACGCAGACGAACGCGCATGCACGAGCACGCATGCGCAAAAGCACTAACTTCTTCATCGACATGAGAACAGAAGAGATAATTAAATGAATGATTTTAGCATATACATACCAGTGTTTCTCTCCTGGTCTCTCCTTCTCTTCTCTTTCCTTCTCCGCTCCTCTCTTCTCTTCTCCTTCCGTCTCCTCTCTTCTCTTCTCTTCTATTCTCCTCTCCTATCTTCTCTTCTCTGGCTTTCTGGTTTTCTGGTTTCAACCGTATGAGTACAAGTTGGTAACGATGTGACGTGCACTCTACTGAGAAATATCGAAATGTAACAACTCTATATAGGTAAGTGAATGCTGTTATCATAACTCTGTGTACTGTGTACGTTATCAACTTCAAATAACGGATTGGCTTTGCTCTCTAAATAGTCAGCAGTTGGGGCTACGTGACCGAGCCGGGGTC